TGCTGGTGCTCACCTTCTCCTATTTATGAGTCTAGGATCCCAGCCTAGGAGATGATGGTGCTGCCCACTTCAATTAATCTAATCAAGATACCCCTGGAAGACATGACTAGAGGCTAAATGTAATCTAAATAACACCTTGAGGCTGTCTCCTACATGACTCTATATCCTATCAAGTTGATGATACTTTGACTGGCAGCCCTCAAATCCTGGTCTTTGGCAACTTTTGTTTCCCTTGGTGCTTGGCAGCAGGAAGCAATGACAAGTGGTATACTCCAGTGTCAGGGTCTTTGTTCAGTTCCTAGGTATGGAGCCTTAGCCCTGTGAGTGTTCTAACCCCACAGGTAAGCTTCAGGCATCGGGGCCCTCGGCTCTTGCTTGGTAGTGTCACAGCATTCAGTTTGGGGCTGAGACCCATAGTCCTGAAGACTGGACAGTTCTCTGGAACTCGTAGGGACTGAGGTTGTTTTTCTGGCTCCTTGTAGCCTGTTACCCTTTAGGCACCTCTCTGCTGTCTTTCATCTTCCTTCTTCCCCACTTCTTCCTGGCTGCTCTCAGATCTCGGATCTCAGATCTCAGATCTCTGCTGCCAGCACGCTGTTGAGATGACTCAGGATGTCTGCCTCGTCTGGGACATCTTTTGGGAGCCAGGGTGGCATCGACACTCAGGAAGCCCATGTCAGGCACTGTTGAGATCATTCAGACAAGGACACTTAGAAGAGCAGGACTGCTAGGCAGTAAGGATCACCAACTGCTGGCCATGCCTGGGTCTGTGGCCACTTCTTCCTCAGCCACAGAGCAATCATGCTAAGGCCACTACCTGCCTATCAGCAAGGTAGCAACCAATGCCATCACCAGCACTCTCCACTGTCTCTAACTTGGTGCTATCAGCTCAGTTGGTGGCACTGCTGAAAATAAGCAGGGCAATATCACTGTGGGGAATTCTTTTTGTCAGGTCAAACACTACAACACCAGAGAAGGCAGCACAGAAAAGCTTCTCCCAGCTCACTCACTGAGTGAGACTGAGCAGACCGTTTACATAGGCCTGGGTTTGGACCAAACACAGCCATTTGGGGGGGGGGGCAATCAGAATCTTACATTTTAGCACCTTTCATAATTATTGAAGCTTGTTGTATTTTGGGCCACTTAGCCACTTACCTCTTAGCAGTAATTAGTCCTTCCACCAGGGGCAATGTCTTCCTCTTCATCCCGCCAAAATGGAAATGGTTGCAGGGTCATCTAGAGTTCATCCAAGTTTCTGATAACAAAAAGCCTGGCACAAACTGTTTCACGCAGCCCTGGCTTGAAAGATCCTTTAAGATCCAGGGCAGTCAGCTGTGTTCTTTTCATAATTATCCTAAACCATCCATAGAGTGTATAAAGTAAAGGGTGACAGTGTGAAAGAGGAATCCGGACAGCTGTTAGGCTTGGTCATTTTGCTCAGGGTAGCAAGGAGGAGTCCATAGCCGCTAATTAGGAGATCAGGTTGCCCCAGCCTTAGTGTATGCCTATAATATCAACTTAAAGAGTGTCTGATTAGCCGGGTGTTGGTGGCTCATGCCTTTATTCCCAGCACTCGGGAGGCAGAGACAGGTGGATCTCTGTAAGTTCGAGGCCAGCCTGGTCTCCAGAGCGAGTAATAGGATAGGCTCCAAAGCTACACAGAGAAACCCTGTCTCAAAAAACAAAAACAAAAACAAAAAAGAGTGTCTGATTAGCACTGACCATGACTTAACAGTGCTTGAGCAGAGCCTAACACCTGCCCAGTGCCTAGGGAGGAGTGGATCCTTCATCTGTCTTAAACTCAGGATTAACAAATTGACTGATTAATAGGTTCAACACATTTTTTGGAGAAAGAAAATCTATGAAATTGAGAAACAAAATCCACCAGCCTTCATTTCTCTATTTGTTAATATTTGAATTTTTTCAACCAGGCAGTGAGTAATGTCATTCCTTATCATTTTTGTTATATAGGGTTGGTTGGTTAGTTTTGAGATAGGGTCTCTCTAAATAGCCCAGACTAGTCCACAATCCACAATTTTCTGCCTCATTTTCCCAAGGGTTAGGATTGCACTCAACTGGCTCCTAGCCTTTTGTAACTTTGCTAGCTTATAGTATTTCAGAATTTGATCAAAAAGGAAGTGGGTAAGGACAGAATGAAGAACACTGTAATCTACATGCTGAAGCAGAACTGTGGTTAAAAGTGGGCTGGTTGACCTAACAGGTGTCATACTGGCCCCCAGAAGCATGAGAACCATGGGAGGCAAGAGTGAGCCATGAGCTGACGGCATCCAAACAAGCTCAGTCAGCCTCTGGAGACTTCTGTCCTTAGGTCACCTGCCCCTCCCAGAAACTGGTCTCTCCCTTCTCTCTGGGGAAACTGAGCCACATAACCTCAGAATTCAGATACATTCAACATCACTGATGCCAAGTGAAGACAAGAAAGTCAGTAGGCATTCTATTTACTGAACTATGGGGTTTCTGGGCTGGGGAGGAGCAGTGCTCCCCATCCTCTCATTATAACAGTGGAAGAGCTGAGATAAATACTATCTGGCCCACAAAGCCTCAAACATTTACAACACGGACCTTGCAGGAATGGCTTGCTAACAATTGCTTAGAGAAAAAGAATGTCCTCAGAGGAAAGACTCTAGCTCCATTTCAGATCTCTACTGAAAAGACAAGCAGGCTGGCTGGGACCTGCCCAGGATGTTCATCAGTTTACAAACTGTGCCCCCCCCCAACACACACACACACCCAACCTCCAAGCAGGTGTGTGTACTGAACTCTTCAGTACCAATGGATGACCAAAGATTTTTCCAGGACCTCAAGGAAAGCCCTGGACTGAGGGGGCATCATTGACATATACAAACAGAAGGAAGGGACTTGTAGAACCAAAAACAATTCAACTAACAGAAAATTGTAAATAAATATGGAGGATTAGAGACCTTTGATTAGGAGAGGACATGTCATTGCTAAAACAAGAAACTTGGTGCTATGATAAGAGTAAAGTCTTGAGAGTGTGTCTACCAACATTTTATTTTATTATTTTATTTTTGTTTTTTGAGGCAGGGTTTCTCTGTGGCTTTTGGAGGCTGTCCTGGAACTAGCTCTTGTAGGCCAGGCTGGTCTCGAACTCACAGAGATCCGCCTGCCTCTGCCTCTGCCTCCCAAGTGCTGGGATTAAAGGCATGCACCACCAACGCCCGGTCACCTACATTTTAAATACGTAACTAGATTTGTCAAAAGAGAGTCAAACAAGGAGACGAAATACCGAAGCAAAAATTGGAATCATAGTCCTGGCTGTTCATGTGTTAATAAAAATTGTCATGCTGAATGACAAAATTGGGAGATTAAGAGTATTAAAATAGCAAAGAAATAAAATTTATGGGAGTATTTTAAAATTTATTTCACATTGTGCTCAGTGTATTGAATAAAAACAACAGGCCATTATGAAATTGCAGAGCACTTTAGCAATAAAGCAGAGGCCCTAAATCCACATAGAGAGAAACTGACAAAACAACAGGCTACATGGACCCAGAGTTCTCAATAGCAACACCAGATGCCAAAAATATAGGAGCAATGCCTTCAGAATTCTGAAGGAGGGTGATTTTTAAGATGGTGACCTATGCCTATCACTATCAGTCAAATACTGAGACTAAGGGAGCATTTACTTTTAGGCCTCCGTTACTCAAATATTTAACTCTCAGGAACCTTTGTTAGAAAGCTACGAAAGGATGTGTTTTATCACAGCTGAAGAGTAAAACCAAGAGCCAGAAATGGAATTGATGGAAGAAGGACTCGATACATAAGTGAAAAGAGCCCCAAGATGATGGTTTTGTGCCAGATGGGGGGCAGTTGTCCAGATAGAAACATGGGGACTAAGGGCTGCAGAGGACTCCTTCTGGAGGCAGGGAAATCCTGATGGAGTATCTCACATAAGATGTGGAAAAATCTATTTCTAGATGTGTTATAGATTTATTTTAAAAAGAAGGAAGGAAGAGAGAGAGAGAGAGAGAGAGAGAGAGAGAGAGAGAGAGAGAGAACCGGCTGGGAAAGAGTGGGGCACTGCTTAGCTGAGCAGCCAATTGGATCCATTTAAATAATATGGACACTGATTTAACAACAATGAGTTCATCTGGAAGCTTGTCAGGAGGCAGGGATGGGGGTGCTAGAGGACCAATGAGTAGAAGGTAAATCCTTGTCTAAAATGAATAAATCAAGAACAGTTATAAAGCATATGCTTTCAGCCAAATGCTGGAAGAAGCAAAAGGGAGAGGGAAGGTGCTTCTGCAAGAAAAGATGGGGGGAAAAGCCAGTACTATTGCTCCCCCATACCCCCATTCCCACCCTGCATACGACCATTAGTACTGTACAATAGCAGTTAGGTTCACTGGACTTATCACATGTATTTATGTGTGTGTATATATGCGCACACACCATACACATATGCACCCTACCCTTTGAATGTCAAGATAGCCAGCATTGCCCCTAGTCATTTTCTGTTTTCGATATACATGTTAATCATATCTATTAGATTGTAATTATAACTATAAAAACTAAGTTGCTTTTGAGACTAATCCTATGTGAAGCTGTGGTCAAGTAGAATTTAAGAGTCTACATAGCAAGTGAATCATTTGTTTGGGAATTCTGGTGGAACTGTGGAATTCCCTGTGGACTTTACTTACTCTTGAAATCCATAATCTTTGGAGGTTGGGTATCACACCAATGAGTTGGGACCTCTGTATGATAAGCCTGGCATAAGCAAGCATCAAGGTTCCAGGAAAGAGTTAAGTATTGGGAAAGGATATCAGTGTGTGTACTAAAACCTATGGCAACAAGAGGGCAAAACTGACATTTGTGACAGGAAGGGAGAAGGACAACCGAGTATGGCTCGAGTAGTCAGAAACAGAAGTGGTTTTCCTGTGGATACTATTGCTGGAGTGGTACAGAGCTGAGTGCTTTCCTAGGAAATCAGTTCTTCTTTTCCTTGCTTCCTCCCACAGCTTAATCGCTTACACAGAGCAGTACGTGGAGTATGACCCTTTCATAACGCCAGCAGAGCCATCTAATCCTTGGATCAGCGATGACATCACTTTATGGGACATAGAGATGAGGTAAAATAATAATAATTATAATAATAAATAATGAGGTTCGGGAGTGGGAGGGATGTTGAGAAAAATCCATGTCACGCAATCACTTTATTCCCTGTTTTCATTTGAATAAGACAAGAAGAGAAAAGGCCCGAGCGCTCTCCATGCTGACATCTGTTTGCTTGAGGTTCCTTCCTCCTTGCAGCTTTGGTTTGTACATGAGTTCTTCGTGGCTTCTCTCTGGCCTCTCTCTGGACCTCTGTGTGTCATGGTAGCTGGCCCAGTTCCTCACCATTTCCTAGCAATGTATACTGGAAGGGAAGACGGCTGCCTCAACTTGTCTCCTTCCTTTCAGATGGCAAGAATCCTAGCTAGCCCCTCTCCACACTTGCCCTTATCCAACAGCACTTCCGCCAAACCCCTCAGCTGCAAACACTGTTCTCACTGAACAGATGAGGGACCTGAGACAGAGCAGAGCTGGGGAACTTGTCCAAGGATGCACAGTTGGAATGCAACAGCACTGAGGCTGGGGCCCAGACAGAGGACTCCGGAGCTGTGGCTGGCCTGATGCTGGTCTTCTGAGGTCACAGGCATCAGTAGCTTCATCACTGCTTGTCTCTGCCCTTGGAGGGAAGCAAGTGTGTTGACTTAATGGCTCAGAGGAACTTGGAGCACAGTCAGAATTCCATGACATGCAGGGACAGTTCTGTGTGGCACCGCTTCGGCTCTGCTTTCGGAACATGACTCCAGTGTTCTCTTTCTCTCTGCTGTTATCTTTCTCAGAAATGGAAAACCTTAGTAGCAATTAATGAAGTCATAGAGGTTTACTATATAAAAAGCTTATCCTATCCCTGGGTGCATGTAGAAGAAAACTCCTCTCTTCCTCCAACCTGCCTCTGCCCATAGTCTGAAACCCTGGTTTCCACACTGCACCAGGGTGTCCAGGGCACTGGGGGGCTTCCCGGGTTTTGTGTACTGATGGAAACTTCAAGACATCTGATGAGTGGGACATCACGTACACTATTGGCTTAGATGGATTCAGTGTGAGAATTAGACCACATCCCATCCTTTTTAATGCCACATCTTTGCAAAACTAGATTTTCAGAGAAATTTTGTAATTAAAAAGCTATGCTGTACAAAAATCAATATGGACTAGGAAATGAAGGTGACCATGGTCCTGTCAGATCCAGTTTGAGAAAATGTGCAGTGTGTAACATATATACATAGGGGTTGTCATAGTTAGGATTAATATCAATGTGATAGAAAATTATGACCAAAGGAAACTCAGGAAGGAAGGAGTCTATTCTGCTTACACTTCTGGGGAAAGTCCATCATTGAGGGAAGTCAGGGCAGGAACTCATACAGGGTAGGAACCCAGAGACAGAGACAGGAGCTGAGACAGAGGCCATGGAAGTATGTTGCTTACTGCCTTGCTCCCCATGGCTTGCTTAGCCTGCTTTCTTATAGAACCCAGAACCACCAGCCCAGGGATACCAACACATATAATGGACTGGGCCCTTCTCCATCAACCACTAGTTAAGAAAATGCCCTATAGGCTTACCTACAGCCCAATCTTTAGTGGCAGTCTCTCAATTGAGGTTCCCTTTTACCAGATGACTCTTGCTTGTGTCAAGTTGACACAAAAACTAGCCAGGAGAGGGATTAAGAATGAAATCGAGACATTTTTTCCTTCAATGCATGTGCATTTCACATAGTTGCTGTTGCTAGGAAACAAGCACAAAGTGATTGGTCCCAACCTTAGATAAACAAAAATTTTAGGTGTTTCTTTGAGGTCAGGGAGACTATAAAACTTACTGAGACCTTAAGGTGTCATGGACTCAGAATGTTTGAGGGGCTCTGAATTAGTGACTATCTCTTTAAATCTTTTATACATAGAAAATATTCTTGTCTCTAATGTAATTATGTTCTATATATACACATATATGTGCTATTTTAATTGGATATATATATATATATATATATGCACAGATCTACCTTATCCTTTTAATATCTGTATAATATCTCCTGGCATGAATGAAGTAAAATTTATTTAACCAATCCCTGGGCCATTAACTGTTTAACTCATGTCTGTTTCTGTAATATAAACAACAAATCAAGGAACAGCCATCCCTACACCCAAGTCTAATTAGTTTTTTAGTATCAATTTTCCAGAAGTAGAGTTACTTGGAATGGAATGCATATTTTAACTTTAGTCCACGTGCCAGATTTTCCTAATTAAAACTGAACCCCCCTTTTTCTATGACTTCAGTTTAAAGCATTGTTGTCAACCCCAGTGTTAGCAGTCTTTCTATCTTTGTAAACCCAATAGGTTGAATCAAATCCCATTTTGCTTTCTATTTCTTCACTGGTGGAGAAATATATCAATGGTTTCATGTGGTTATCAGAGATTCATTCTTCTGTGACCTTTCAGTCACCTGTCCTCTCCCCATTTTCCCTCCAATAGTGGCTTTGCTTTGCATATTGGGATACAAAATTACCCTTTGCTTTGGCTTGTCTTTTTTCCAATTCCTTCCTTCTTTTTTTATTTCTTGTCTTCTCCCCCAACTTTTAATTTTCTAATCAACTTTTGCATTACCTCTTCAAATTCTAGCTTCTATTCTAGCCATAGTTGTATTCTACTTTTATTTTGAAGTTTAAAAAATCATTGATTCATAACAGGGCATTGTGGAATTGAAAGCACAAGTTTCCCTGTGCCTTCCCATTTTGCACTCGTCCCCAAAAGGTATGTTACCATGATGTATTTTAAACCAACATTCTGAATTTACATTTCGGTTAACATTATGAGAACAAATAGATGCAAATGGACATCCACTTTTAAAATTCTCTTTCTGGTGTGACCGTTATTAGTTACTTTTCGGTTGCTGTGATAAAATACCATGGCAAGGCAGCTTTTAAGGGAAGGTTGATTTGGGCTATCGTTCCACAGGGTTAACAATCCATCGCCATCCTGGAAAAGTGGCAGGCATGGGCGGCAGGCATGGTGGCTGCTGTGAGTTCACATCTTGAATGCCAAGCAGGGAGAGCCAAGCAGGAAGTAGAGAGTGAAAACTGGGAGTAGGCAAGGCCTTACGCTCTCAAGGCCTGCCTCCAATGGCATACTTCCTCCAGCAAGGCCTTAGGGGACCAAGTGTGCAAATGCCTGAGACTATGGGAAACATTTGTTATTCAAACCACTGCATAGGGATAGAATTTAAAACTTTCATTATCTCAGGTTGTGTTTTTCCTCCTCATCCTCCTGTTTCTAATTACCCTAATTACTGCTTCTGTATTTCCTACATTATTCTCTTTTCTCTTTAACCGTATTAGGTGCATTTTAGTTCATATGTCTAAAGTTTTTTTTTTTTTTAATTTGTTCTTTAAGAATTCTCTGTCTGTCTGTCTGTCTGTCTGTCTTTCATTCTTTAGTAGGAACTCTAGGCCTCTGGGGTAGACCTATCAAATCTTTTTAGAGGTCTCCCTATATTACTCAAATAGATTTTGGGTTTTGTTTTAGTTTTATTTTTGTAGTTGTTGTTGTTTTTTTTTTTTTTTCTTTATGTTCTTGCCAGTCTGTCACCAGTGGTGGCACTATGCTGTGGTGTCATTGGTCATTGTTTTTTTGTTTTTTTTTGTTTTTTTTTTTTTTTTTTTTTTTTTTTTTCTTATATCAGGATCTGGTCAGCATCTCCCCCTCCACCACCACCACCACCACCACCACCCCTGAGACACACACACACACACACACACACACACACACACTTCTTAGCAAGAGACTTCCATTATGTAGAGCCTGTGTGTCTTTCAGAGCTTCTAGCCTGTGCTCCTGCCTCAGGCTACCCCAGTGCTTTTTTGAAGTCCTGCTGTTCAGAGTTCAAGGCTCCCCAGCTGTCCCCTTCCACAGCTCTGCTGCAGTCATGGTTTGTCCTCTCTCTATCAACTTTGTTACAAGTCTCATTTATTTGTTTCAAACCTCCCTGAAATGCCTGGACCTTACCATTCGCCCGAACAATATGTCTTTGTCTCTACATATTATGATTGGGTTAAAACCAAAAACAGCAGACAAACAAAATCTGTTTTACTGAGTTTCAGGGCCTTTCCTGTTTAGTCTTTCTAAGCCATTTGTCCCTCCTAGATAGTTTTCCTTCTCACTCAAGCCTTCCCAAGCTTGCTGACCCCCTAGCATAATGGCATGGCTGTCCCACTCCTCCAGTTGCTATGTCACACCCCCCTCCTCTAGTTCACTTCTAAAGAGGACCCATGATTGGCTTTAGCATCTAGTCTCCTAACTGGCACACAGCAGGCACTCAAAGTGCAGATTGGGTGGATGGTAGGTGAATAAGTTATTCCTTCTTTGGTCATTTCACAGGTAGTTGGAAAAAGAAAGGCAAGTGTCCAAAGCTAATTCACTATGATAAAATGAAATTTCTCACTTATCCCTAAATAGATAAAGAAGCACTTGGTGGTTTGGGGAAACGGTAGCCACCTTGTCACTTGATTTATCTCAAACTATTCAGCATTCTATCCACCCACAATGCTACCTGCCCTATGATAGGCGATCCAGTTCTGTTGTTACTGTTAATGCTTCTATGCTTTTCTTATGCCTAACATAAGAAAAGATTCCAAACGGAGCTCTATAGACACAGGTGAAAATGAAGCCCTAATTCTTCTCCTGGCAGAATGTCTGTACCCACTCAGAGGCGTACAGAGCTGCCAGAAGCAACGCAGAGCATGAGATCAGCGCTGACATCAAACTTCAGCCTAATGACTCGGTCCCTGTCTATACAGTAAAGTTCCAAGACGACCAAGAAAACAATCAAAAGTTAGTTTTTTCTGTGTCACCTTAATTCAGCCTGTATGGATTGAGACCTACTTTGCACTGTGTTCTGAGAAGGAAATCCTCTGGATAAAAATCTAACAAAGTCAATTAAGACTCGTTGTCTTACCACCTGACAACAGAATTCCTCCTTGCTTGGCAAGGGGCATTCAGCCACTTGGGGTATAAATCAAGTCCTGTGGGCAAGGCT